GAAGCCAGACGGAACTCCGGAAGGCATCGGGGCGCGCGTGTCTCCCCCCATTACCTGGGAAATCCTCGGGAAAGGCTGAAAAAAAGGTGGTCGTTGCGGACGTTAATTAAATTAGCCGGCTCTCTCGGCGAGACGACGGCGACGGGAGAGACGCGAGGCGACCCGACGCTTCGGTTCCCGGAGTGGCGCGCAATTAACGCGGACCCCAGGACCGAGGGGCTGACTTTAATTAACCGGCGGCCGCCGGGCCGAGGCCTTAACGAACGCTGCTCGCGATGTAGGATATTGTGTCAGGAATTATGTCATTAATAACCGGTCCAGCCGTTACGAGGAGGATACAGGCGCGAGGGAAAAAGCGGGAGGGAGGGAGGCGCACGCCATTTAACCGGCGAGGAAAAAGTTGAATGAAACTCGCGTTTTATCGAGGAGCCTCGCGATGTCTTTCCCCGCATTCCGCGGGATTCCGCTCTGGAAACGGTGCCCGCGCGCCTCGCGACGCGGGGGATGGTTCGCCGGCTTTACGACCGTTCCCGGAACAATCAACCTCGCGAAGAGGAAAAGCGTGTAGAGCGAGGGAGTCCTTCCTTCGCCGCGTGTCGTCGCGATTGCGCGAGAGCTAAGTTCAATATTTTGTACGCGGCGTGTTGACTCTGCGATCGAGCGTGCGTGCGTGCGCGCGCCAGCCTTCGGTAAATAATTAGCTTCGTTCAAGGCCGGCCCGAGCGGTAACAGGGTTCTCCACTTTGCCGCGGCGTCGAGGTGTTTGCGCTTTGCGAAATCCTTTGTCTCCGGGCAAGAAGAGGCTGCGTTCAGCTCCGCCGCCGCAGAAGAGTCTCGGGGGCAAGCCTGCGCGGCAGTTGTTCCCGCGGGAAAATCGGAGAGCGACCGGCCGCGCGTCTCTCGAGGGAAATTGCGCAACGGTTTCGAAAATCCGGCGAGCGCTCGCTCGGCTGCGGTCGTTAACGCTCCGCGAGGAACGTCTCGAGCTGCGGGCGTGAAAAAGGAGGAAGAGGATCGCGCGACGCGTAGAACGAGGGGCGGAGGGGCGAGAATGGGAGAAAGGGAGTGTCGGTCGAAAAAAGAAGGTTCGTGGACGCGCGTCGAGAGCGGGGCGGCGGGGGGAAAGAAACAAAGTGGAGGAAGAGCGAAAAAGAGAGTTAAACGACGCCGGCGGACGGGGAGGAGGGTGGGAGTCGGAGGAGAGCGTGCCTCGTGCACGTTAATTAAAAGTGCTGCGAAGGAAGTCGCCAACTAAGAAGGGCGAGGCTGAATGAAAACAGCTGCTGCCCGATGACGACACGGTCTAAGAGCGCGCCCGGCTTCGACTAAGCCTGTTCGACGCGAGCGACGCCGTTAGCGCCGCTATTTTCGCGCATAAATATAAACCGACGCCCACCCGGCCGCCGCATCGTCCTCTCTCACCGCTTCCTCCGCCGCTCGATACCTCGCGCTCCTTTCGTCTAATCGCGGCCGCTTCCTTCTAACTTCGATTTCCTGCCGCTCGATGGGAATCATCCGCGGAGATAGAGGCTAACTGCGCTCTGACCGAGATTCGCCGGCGGGGCTCGCCGGGGAACGCGCCGCGAATTCAGTTTCGCCGAGTTACGACGCGTCGCGGAGGACCCAGTCCCGCGGGAACGCGGAAATTCGAGACCGGGAAGTTCGAATCTCGAAAGTTCCCGATTTTCGCGGGAGTTCGACGCGCGACGTTCACGGGAATTTCTTTAACCGCTTGATTTCTCGATCTCGGGATGTAAATTTAACAGATCCCTCAACGGTTCTCCACGGTTTATGAATGAAATGTATATTGAACGTTGATGTTATGCTATGTAGTTACTATGATAGATACAGTTGTTACTCTATCGAAGATCGTCTCGTTAGTATTGCAAAATTAAAGAGGTTAAATTGCAACTCAAGCAGTTAACCCTTAGCACTCCAGTCGATGTAATCTATGAAGCGGCCATTTTTTTAGTACCTAGCGAGAATTCAAGAATATAGTGTTAAGTCCCTTAATTTCCATGTGTCGCTTATTAGAACAGGGTTTGCGTACAGCGAACGTTGCGATACTCTCGAGGCGGTGCCTTCGAATTTGTTCGTTGGAATACTTAATACTATATGCAACAGTAGCGAAGCGTGCAGAGCGCGAAGGGTTAAGTTTTCGCTTCGGAATCGAGAAGGGAGACCACCGTGCGAGGCGACTCGCGCATTCCAGGCACGATTCCGAGAGCGGAGCGTTGCGTCTACGAACGTGACCGAATTTCTTTTCGATCGCGTCCGTGAACGTTCCAGCTGTCCGTTCTTGGTAAAATCGCAACGGTCAGCTTCGAGTTTGAATGGGCAACGACGAACAGTGATTCGCAGCGAGTTCGAGTCGAACAATTTTAGATGCGTCGCGTCCCTTCGTGACAGAAGGACTCTAACGTAAGAAACCAATTCCGCGTCGACACGTCGCAATACAATGAATTCTTCGTTTACTTTTCTACTTGTCCAAGGTCCGTACGAGCGACAAAGGGGAAGAGCGAACGACAGATCTCGCAGACGATCTCCGATCCCGCGCGAAACGTTAATCCGCCACCGGCGCGCGGCGAAACGATAAAAGAGCAAACGTACGTCCGTTTAGGCTAAGGGGTTTGTACCTCGTGTCTTCATTTTTGCTCGCTACGAAACGGTCCAGTCTGAAAGAAAAAAAAAGACAAGACATATAGACTTCTACTGGTACGTTCCGTTTCGTTCCGTTCCGTATCGCGCCGCGTCACGACGAAACGCCGCTCGGCGACCGTTCCGCTTCCATCGAATTCAGCGAGCTTCGGACACCACCGTCAACCGTCGCCAGAGTTCGAGTCGCAACCGAGAGACACGATTGTTCAGAAATTCCGGATCACCGCGGGCTGATCCGAAACTCGCGATCGATTCGGCAACGATCGCGGAGTTCGCCTCGATTTCGTCGTAACGCGACGACGTTCCCCTCCGGCTAGATTATTCGGGCTACTCCGACTGGAGTCTCGACGGATCTTCCGAATATTGGAGCACCGAAACGCGCCGCGAAAGTGTTAGGATCGGACGAGGGCGACAGAACGCGCGGGATCGAAGCCGAACGAGACACCCTACACAGTTCCACGGGAGAGAGATAAGCTAACGCAGCTGTGGTCCGAGAGCTCGTGTGTCGACGTTACACTCCGCTCGAACCATATGTTCGACGCGCCTTGTTTTACGCCGCTCGATCTCGTTCCGTGACAAAGGAAAAGAGAAAGTCACCAGGGGCGAGAATTGTCGCCCGCCGTTTCTTTCGTTGCCCCGGCGGCCGTGCTTTTCACACGAATCCCGCCGCTCCGTTTGCAGCTCCCACACGTAACGCGCGAGAGGAAAACGCGTTCCGGACACGACACGCCGATTTTTCGCGGCGCGATAACGGAACACGCTACTGAGAAAGGAGAGTATTTTCGCGGAGAGATTCACCGATCGAGTCCTTTTGAAAACAGAGAAAGTTCGCGCCCGGAGTCTTTGGTTCCGAAGCACTCCGATGGGTCCTCCAATCGCGGATCCACTCGGAAGTCGGAGCTACAAGCAAGCAACGTTCGAGTGGAGCGGAATATTCGCCAGCTGCGAGCTGGTTCAATTAATTTCGTCGCTTTGAGGCGAGGCAGAAGTGGCCGGTCGCGAATTTAGGACGCGCGGAGCCGGCGGAGCGTCGATGTTTTCTGGAAAACCGGAGAGCACTTGTCGCTCTGCGTTCCTTGCTGAATTCCGGAATTCCGGGATTGACACTAGAACTGCCAGATTCCTTCGTTCGCGATCGTCGAGGAGACATCGGTGAGAAATTGTTCAGATAGTTGATTAGGTAATGAACTATGATACAACCGACACAACTGAAATCTCAATAAATTGACTACAGTCAATTTAGCTCGGTGATTCTATTGAAGTCTTCATACACAGAAACATGTAGCCATTGTTACTTATTATATCGAGCACACGTACCACGAATCCTCGGAAGACTCAAACCCATCGCTCGCGGCGACGTCTATATGCCTTTTATTGATTGCAGCACCAAAGTGTACGGCTATCGCCATTTTGCCGCGTACGCTGGGATGCAGAGTTGCCTTAACTGTTTTAGCGCTGGTGTCTTCGCGAAAGGAAAATCAATTTCGCTCGGGAACTGAATTACGCTTATGTAATTCCACATAAGAGAATTCTAAATAGTACGATCGTACCGTTTTCCATTTCTATGCAGACTACGGTGAGAATTCGAAGGAAGAGTAAATGAACTTCATTTGGTTCTATGAACCGATCAGCTGGCAATTTTAGGTAGAAGCGCGATCGCGTTGTTTGGCAATAAAACGGTTAAGGGAAAGGAAACGGAATTCTCTTCCCTCCGTTGGCCCTGTGTTCGACGGGTCTTCCGTTACCAAAGAACAGTGCCACACAACACGTGGTGTAACGCGCACGCCACCGACCGACCGGGTGTGTATTTCGAGACGAGAGGTCTTCGCGAAGCACCGGTCGAAGGGGAGGCACGGTAACGATACACCCCCTCTGGCTGTGGCGCGAATTTCACGGCAAAGGACAGGCGAATCCTAATAAAATTCGCGCAGGACGCCAGATAGGACGCCGTTCCATCGTCTCGTTCTTTGCTCACTTTTGCCACTTCTCGCGTCGATTTTCCACGTTCGCCGACGAGCGCTTCGCGTCGGAACGGAAGATGAGGCACCGATATCTCGCACCGCGCGATAATACGGTATTCCTCGTTGTGCTTCTCATGAATAGCGCGAACGGTTCGCGGTGTTTCCAGGCATTCTCCATTCCACAACGTTGAATTCAAAGACCAAGGATTTTAATCGCAGTTTTTGTACCGTTCGGAAAAAAGTTTTCAAGAATGCAGGATTGCGATCGCCGAGACACTCCGCGCATGGAACAGACGCAAGAAGCGTTACGCAATTCACGCTCGGATGATGGAACGTCCATCGATTATAATTGCCGAGCGAAGCCGAACGAGGCACGAGCACAATTATCTAAACGATTCGAACGTTTTGCAAGGAACGCCGAAGGAAAGCGACGCACCGCTGCCTCGGCGGGGGAACAGGTGCACGCAGGTGCGTTCTCCTAGGTAAACATCGCGCAGGCCCTTCGAGGAGGAAACACTCGCTATCGTATTCAAATTTCCCGCCTTTCTAGATACCCTAACGCTTCAACCGCGATAGTTCGAACGTTGCAGCGAGGACAATGCGGAATCGCAATGATCCCGATGTTCGGAACTACCGCCTATTGTGATTCCCCGACGTTTCAACCGCGAGATTTACAGACGTTCGAAGCTGCACTAGGAAAACTGCCGAAACGTAGTGTTCGGACACTTTCCGTATTCAGATCCGCCGCCTTTTTCAATCGCACGTCGCTTCAGCCGCGAGATTTCGAAATTTCGAAAGTTACGTCGGGAAGGACCGCGAGATCTGCAGTCTTCTAGCCGTTCGGCGAACAAAGGCGACTCGGCTCGCGGTCAGAATAAGCGATAACCCGTCAATTCGAGCGGTCGGAGCTTCTTCGAGGAAATGGATCTGTTAGTCGGGAGATCGCGTTATGCCAGTCACGCTTGTACCTCGAGGACCATTGTCCTGTCGGCGGGCTCGCCGAATATTACCGTTCTCGGCCGAGTATTATCATATTCAGGAAGTCCCTTCGCTGAATACAAAGTGGACGGTTCGATATCGAGAGCCCGGCCGCGAATTTTCGCCCCTCGGCTCGCCACTTCCGAGTCACGAGGAACACGAATCCGAGCCCGGGAACCGTGAATTCTGAAGCCTCTCGATCGAACGTCCCCTCGGCTCTCCTCCGTTCCCCATTTCGCTGTTCGAGGGCTCGTCGCAGAAATCCGGTCGCGACGAGGGGGAACACGATCGCGGTTCTTTCGTGTCGGGTGCGAACAGCGACAAGATGGCGCGTCCTCGGTGTCCTTACTGTTTCCGGCAGCGGTTCTTAATTTCGATGATCAAACGAAAACCAATCTATCACAGGAAGAACAACTCTACAGATGAGTCTCTTCGGTTGGAATCAAGGATACGTCACTCAGAATATTGTTACCCAAGAAATTTCCGAATCTCCTGTTTCGAGCCCACCCAAAGTTTCAGCTTTGAATTCCTAGGATTCAAAATTCCGGTTCGAACTCCGCGCTGGTACGAACAGAACAAAGCGCTGCGATTATAAAGAGTTGCGCAATATCAACGGAACACGCCGCAATCGCGGTTTCCGACACGCGAAGCGTGCCACAATCGCGAGAAACAAGAAGCACGGTGGAACCCGCGAATCGTTCCGAAACGAACGATTCCGTCGAATCGTCCCGAGGTCCGCCGGCAAAATGGAGGGTCCGCGCGCGGCAATGGGTACGCCACTGACCGAACGCGGAGGTCGTTCCACCCGGCAAGCCCTCGTCACTCGTCAGTGCTCCGTTCTCTCTCCCTTGTACCTTTACGGGCGGCCAATCCTCTGTCGGCCGGGAGAACTTGCTCTTCCCGCGATTGAACCGGCCACGGAAAATTTACACGGCGAAAGACGGGGGCGATTCATTGATTTCTTTCACGGCGCAACGCCGCCGGGAACCGCCGCGGCGGAATCTGCCCCCGCGCTCGCGACAAAAGCCTCCATTCCTCGCGATCCTCCCTCCAGAACCTATCCCAGGTATCGACACCCTTCGCCCGTAAATTTCCACGCTGGCAATCCATTCCGCGCGGAGAAAAGCTTCAACGGCGGTTCCCGTATCTCGGGAATCTCCGATCTTTCCGCGGAAAGCCGAGGAACCGAGACGCGAGGAGAACGTTGGAGGCAGAAAGAGTTCCCCGGGAGACTAGTCGATCGCAGAAGAAAGCATCCGGTCCAAATGATCCGACACATCTTGTCATTTACGGGGAGGCACACTTCACCAACCGCGCTTCCTCTCGGCTTCCCCTCGCGAAATTCACTGGGAAACGTCGATTTCGACGCGTGTTCGTCCGACGATCACTGCAACGGAAATCCGAGCGAGATATCGACTCGGCAGGCGCACAACTCGACTGCACCGCGTTCGCTCTAGCTCCGCCTTCGCGGTCTACGACTCGTCTAAGCGTGTTATTCCACGGTTTATCCCACCTCCCCATCGCGCACATGCTCCTGACGTTTATCAGGCGCGCGGGGCTCGCCGGTGTTGTGTCGTTAAACAACGCGCAGCTGTTCCGCGATGCCCGGAGCCGGCTTAACGGCCACCCGTGTCCGCGGGAACCGGGATACACCGTCTCCTCTCGCTCTCCCCGGCGTCGTTCCGCCGCGAGGGAACAATGTTCGCCCTGTTCGCGGACGGACGCGCCTCTTCGCTGGTTGCGTCCTTCGGCCGCGGCGACATTGTCGGCGAGTTGCGAGGGGGTTACGCAACGCCGACGACGACGACGACGACGACGACGCTGGGAATTAAAGGGAATAATGAATGAGAGAAAGGAGGCTCGATAGCCGCGGCCGCGATCCGAGCGGTCGTACGCGTACGCGGCGTGTGTGCGTGGATAGATCGGATTACCATCGATAGGGGACACACCGGTACGCGTTACGCGTCGATTTAGAACCGAGCGTAAGGGTTTCCTGGCGAGCTCTCGGTGAGAACGCGGATTTCTTGCGAGAACCGATGCGACGTGCATTTAAAGATGGAGCTGGATTCGATTGGGGG